TCGCCAACATCTTCCCCTTCAGATGTTTTTTTCTCTCGCTTCTGCTTTCTCCCTTTGCCTCTCCGATCCCTCTCGCCACAATGACCCCATCTCTCATCATTGACTCGTGTTATTTTTCAAGATTACGCTTGGATGAACGAGGATAATTGTGTGATGTGTGTGAGCGCGCTGGCGCGTGTGTCCGTGCGTATGCTCACGTGTGTGTGTGTGTGTGTGTGTGTGTGTGTGTGTGTGTGTGTGTGTGTGTGTGTGTGTGTGTGTGTGTGTGTGCCTGGGCGCGTGTGGGCGCGGGCGCGTGCGCGCATGGGCATATATCTATTCCATTTGACATGTTTGCATGAGGACAGTCTTTATTCATATTTATCATGAGATATCCAATCAAATAAAATACTGAGTGGAGCGGAAAGGTACGCAATAGGTATAATAACTGTAGATAATGCAACAATTGATACCAAAACAATCCTCTCTCAATTCTATTCATTTTGCAGAGATACGATTTATTCCAAAAGAGCTGCCGTTCCACAGGAGACTAATTCAAAAGGGTAATAAAATCTATATTTTCCTCACCAACTTCCGCACCATGTAGATACGAAACAAATCTATAGATTATATGATTTATATTTAAAAATATGGCGCATCTACACATAATATCCTGATAATATGTATAGATTAAGAGTAGATTGGAGAATAATATATAATAAGAGTAGATTAGAATCGACTGGCTACACCACATAGAATCGTTTAGATTCTAAAAGAAAAGCTGCTGATTGGCTAATGTGGTTTAAGCTTTAATTGCTACTGTAGAACATCATTAACTTATAAATGCAAACAAATTCTCAGATTGCCTTAGCCAACAAACAAACAAACAAACAAGCGCCTTCTTTTCACACTCATTGGAATAAGTTGCATTGTTTTTTTAACGCGGCAAAATATTCGTCAAAAATTGCATGCACATACCTCTCATTAACAAAAGCACTTGGAGTTTTCTTCTCGCGCCAATGTTCGCATCTCCTAGATCACTTTTCTCAGTCGGGAAAGGCGCAAGCAGGTGTGCCCTTGCAGGTAACTCGGTTATAAATCAACAGCGTGTAGTAACGCTCGTCGACAGCTGTAGATTATCGGTGCAGATCACACCGGCTGTTGATATCGGCGACATGTGCAGTGAGGTATGATTGAGACATTCCAGCGGGATGCGCAATATTATCCATTTACCCGCCGCCTATGTAGCTTCGTTTCTCCTTACGCTCGCGTGCAATATAAGAATAAAAAATTCAATAAGCCCATTCTTAACCCTTGCCAACCCACGCGTATGCAAATAGTCGGGGTTTGTGTGTGCGTGCGTCTACATGAGTGTGCGTGTGCGTCAGCGTCTACATGAGGTATGCGTGCGAGCGTGCGTGTGTGTGTGCGTGCGTCTACATGAGTGTGCGTGTGCGTCAGCGTCTACATGAGGTATGCGTGCGAGCGTGGAGTCACACTTACATCGGATGTAGTTTTACTGTAATTCTGGTGGAGACATTTTACAACGAGGATATATACACGCTTGATATACACAGAATGTGTAGTCAAGCAGTCACAGTGTTCCCATTGAACTATAGCTCTCGCGTTTGCGTTTCTAAATTAAATTCGAAAGGTCCTAACTTACAAATAACGTCTTCGGCTGGAGTTTCGCTGTCGCGAGAAATAAATCGTTCGATAGGGCAATTAGATCACCCGAATAAATAAATGTACACGGAGACATGTGTGTAAAGGTTGTTTAAATAAATAGTGATGTTTGAGGATGCGTTTGTATAATACCGCCTACAGCTGTCGGCGCAAAAGATTCATGCATATGCATTTCTCATCCGCCGGGATACGCGTTTTAAATATGCAACTAGCAAAGTGGTTAAACATTAACTTTACCTCAACTTAATGCCTGAAATAACACTAAACGTGATCTTAGAGTCGGTGCATGCGGTGATCTACGGTGCTAACCAGCAGAATGCTATTCAGATACTATCACGTAACCACACAGAGCTCTCATTACTAACCTCCTACACAAAATAGAAAGCACGAACAAACTAGAAAAAAAAACGAGAGAAAAAACAACAAAAAGAAACAACCTATGCTGTTGGATTACATTATCGTATTTAGGTGCGATCATACTGGTTAAGACAAGGAGAGCGTTTAGCCTTATTAGTTGACCGCTCTCCGAGGTACGTACGTAAGTATGTAACAATATGGCGGTAACTCAACCCGCTATGGTATATTAACGATAATCAACACGAGACCGACTATCGTAACAGAGCTATCGTTTGAAAGCACGCTTAAGCCATATCTGCTAATGAGACACATACAGAGAGAGAAAGAGAGAGGAGGAAGAGGACGAGGAGGAAGAGGACGAGGAGGAAGAGGGCGAGGAGGAGGAGGAGGAGGATGAAGAGGGAGGAGAAAAGAAACAACTCGCAGCTCCAAATGCCTGGTATGGTCAGTCATGAGTTATCGTTTGCTGGGGTTCCGTGGTAAGATCATCTGAGAAAGTCAAGTATCAATTCTCAATTCACCAAAGGCGATCTCCTTTGGGATCAAGCTGACAAACAGTTCAAATATTCCCATAAAGCCTACCATAAAAGCCACGAAGTAAACAGCATCACTCCGACACTTTCATGTGTCTGTGATATAGCGTGCAGTTTTCTATACGCCAACAGCTCGACTCGGTTTTGCACAGACAATGCCGCCTCTGCTTCGACTGTGCGAGAGCACGCATCGTACAAACTAGCCACCTATGGAGAACTATTGCAGAGGAGATCGTGTCGGATTTACAGTGCAGGAAGGGCCATGCTCGTTACAATTAGGCTTTATTCAGCTGTATGAGTAGGCGCATGGCAGTGACCCGGCTGAGCGTGGACCGACACTGCTGGGTGGAAATGTGCAGTTACCCACGAGTCTTTAATTTGCGACTCGGATAAGGTCATGCTAATAGCAGAGTGTATCGTTAGTTATGTATGTGGGTATGTGTAAGTATAAAATTGATGTAACAATACTATATAGGTACAAATACATTAGCAATGTATATAGTTAGTCGCCTAGTGTATAGCGATCTAAATTTACATGTGCGTATAGCCATGTGTATATGCCTAAATTTAGATCTGAATATTGCAGCCAGACTAAGTTATCGCTTGCGGCCTTCATTTCACGCAAAAGTGTCAGTTTAATTCGATTTTCGATCTCTTCGCCTTCATGGTCTTACAACTTCTATTCTTTATCTTTTTTGTTCGATTTCCTTCGCTTTTCTTTCTTGCTGCGATGTTGATGTTTTATATCATCGACTCGTTTACCACGAACCGTGATAAGAATATATGATTACCGCTTTGATTTCTGACTTCGGGGAATCATAGGCCCACATGTGTCTATGCAATCAAAGCGTGGTAGTAATGTAATCTTATTCACACCGCCATGCCCACCTATTTAGCATAATTCGGGTATAATATCTGGGAGTGTCATAATCTCGAGGTAGGCATTACGGAACCATGGAGAAGTTAAATAAAACCACAGGCGGTGATGATCGTCACGGGCCACGTGCGTCAAATTCTATTGTCACAAGTAATTTTCGAACTCAAGTGACGTGTTGATCAGCGGATAAATCTTGTAATAGATTAAAGGAACTGATATTTGAAACTACTTTCCAGGCATCAGCTCTCGTAGCGCAGTAGAAATGCCTGGGCGCTTACATACCAATTGGTAGCAACGCATAGCTGAAAATGCGCGCCCACACGCAA